TCGCTGTGTGTGTTAAAAGGGAAGCTCACTGGACACCGCGTACCGCGCGGTTCAAGGGTTTTGCATGTAAAGACTGTCCAAACGTTCGACGCTTGCGTCCATATCCTTGCACCAAATGCATGTGGAGCGACTTAGGCTCAAGTTGTTGAACCAGGAGGCTGCCAGGACACCTTTCATATTGGCTGGTTACAGAAACGGCAGAAAGTTTGCCAGCAACAGGTCTTGCCTTTTCAAACTGGATGCATCCGGGCAGAATGACTTTCCGGTGCAAGAGCCAGCATGTGCAGATTGCGATCCGCCACCGTCCTTCCAGTTGAGCAATCCCACAAAGTTCCTTCTAAACAAATCCAAACCCCTGGTGAATTCGGCATCCGACTCCGAATCCTTCGCATGTCGACGTCTCAGGCCCTGACTTCAACTTCACTGGCATTCTGAAGTGGGATTTCGAGAGCAGCAAGCTCGACAAAGTGGCAGCCTAAGCCTGTGCCAGCATGGGAGACTCAAAAAAAAACGGTACGGCGTCCCGTTCGAAGCGCTGCGTTTTATGGTTGGATGACGAGGACCATAGGACATGATATCGTTGTTGCTGCCTTCGGAGCATGCGCCAGGTGATCAAATACCGCGAGGGCACGGTGGGAGGAGAACCTGTGTTCCTTCCACGCCAGGGGAGCACTGAGGACCGGGGCAAAAACTCGACCCGCTGAAAAAACGGAGCACGCACAGAGGGACAGAGAGAGAGAGAGAGAGAAAGAGAGAGCGAGAGACACACAGACAACCGTTGCATGTGATTTGGCTGTGGCTCAAAAACATGTACTAAAATGGCACCTTGGTAAATGGAACCAAAGACTAAAACCTGCAAAAACACCTGGCTCTTAATTTTTGAGCCACACCCATTTGTCAAAAAGCTTTCGGTGCGCGACTTGAGTCTTGAGGACGACGATGGCTACATCGGCATGTTCTTGTGGAATCAGAAGACCCTGGAGTCCACTTTTGCGGTTTACGACGCCGCTTGGTAAAGTGTGCTGATGTGACGGAGAAAGGGGCGTGTCCTATGGAGCTGGTTGAACACCGAAACGAAGATGAACTTACCCGCAAGGGGTCCCCCATCTTAGGCGTAAAGGTTACACACGGGTTTTTGCCTGACACCAGGTGATTGAAGCAAAGATGCACTCAGGCCCAACAATGGTCCATGTTAGGCAAGGTTGAACACGGGTTTTCTGCCTGAAGCCTTTTGATTCACCTGTCAGAGGTCGGCGGGTCCTTGTGCGTCTCACTTGAGGGTCTGGACTTGGGAAGACCAGTGTAAACAACAGCTGGACATGGGGATGGGTCCAAGATAGGAATCGGTCCCCCAATTTTGTGTTGGTTTTCCTTTGGTTTCCGTTTGTACAACAAATGCCACAAGGGGGTTCACCATTTTCAGAAACTCCCACATGGTGGAACCTCGTTTGCCGGAAAGAGAGTTTGTCATCGGACCGAATGCACTGAGTCTTTCAAGTGGGTGTTTCATGTCAAAGTTTTGCCGTTTCTTACGATCTGACGCTTGGTTCCGGCATCCGCCCGTCTCACTTCATATCGACATCCCTAGTTGGTTATCTTCCTGGGTGGAATCCGGTCAGATTTCCCCCCCTTTGTGGCCTTCGGTTGAAGCCTCACACCTTCCAAGCTCCCTTTGGACACTCAACTTCTAGTTGGTTAAGATGTTTAGTTTCTTCCCCTGTTAATTTTAAAGGGAATCGATTCCACTACTGGACTTTTTGTTGCCCAGTAAGCTGCAGATGGAGATTCAGCGGCTTCAAGGCGACTCGTTGACTCGTTGAGGCCAAGAGCTTCCAGGAGACTCCCCTGTTGGAGTTTCTGGTGCCGCGGCGTGTGCCCATCGGCTTCCATGCTGCCTGGATCACCGAAGCTCAGCACCTCGGCGGAGATTTTCTGGGTGCCAGTGGCGAAGAGATCTGGGTTGAACTGTTTTTTTTGCATACCACATGCTTGTTGTTGGGAAACCTTGTACTTTTCTTTTTGCTTTTTGTGGTTTGGTGGGAAGTTCCCACTGAACTGCTAAAAAAAGTGGCTGCCCCTTCCAACGTGAACCCAGGATGGGCCAAAAGGGGTGACACTTACTGGCGAGCTTGGCCTCAAGCACTTTATTCGCTAGAATCAAGATCCTGTGGCTGCCTAGGAAGCAAACACGAAGGTAGGCAGAGGGATGGGAAAGGATACGCGCTGCAGTCTCGCGCTGGTGTCTAATGTCGAGCAGCAGCACTGAGCGTGTGTAAAGTGAAGGCTATCAATATCGCGAATGTCGTGTGCCAATACGTGTATGGTGGGACATGATTCAGATGGCTATGTGATGGCAATGCATACAGCGTGTTTGACCCAATTCCAAGCATGATGTTTGTGTGCTTGCTTGAGGAGAACATGGAAGTTGAATTATCGTCCATCTCTTGCTAACATATGCGCGGAGAAGTGGGAAAGGTGGTTCAGAATCAGGGAGACACTCCGACACACGTGATGCACTGACACACTGACGCACGCACGCGCGCCCGCACGAACACGCATAAGCAAAACTATTGAATTTGCAGTGTGATATATGGTATGAGATAATACATATAATAACATAATTTAGTATGTATACATGTACATATAATGTAAAATGTGTATATATATATATATATACACATGTATTAGTGTATATGGGCATACAAGCAAACAAAAAGGACATGCACACACGGGCACTGATAGATCTGAACGAGACACAGCTTTTAGTGAGCCAACAACTTTGCGCGGCTGACTTGGAGACGTAGTCCTGATTCCAGCGGGGCGAGAGTGTAAACGCAGATGGGCCTGGCTGCATGTGTTTGTCAATGCCCACAACAAAGTTCCCAGACAATCCCACTGCGTGCGAACTACTGCTCAAACCATCAGGTGTAATTAATCGCCAGAAGGCAAGGCTTGTGGGGAATACAGGGTATTTGCAACCAACCCCACTCCGGGGGCATTGGCCCTGCACGGGTGCTGCGTCAAGAATCAGCTCACGTCATACTCCACTAATCCAATCATGCGCTCGCCTCTCACTGACCAACACCAGGTTCAAGGGAACAGGTGGACGGGTCCAATTGTCCAGCTTATTGGACTTGTGAAAGCAACCAAACCTTGCCATCGGAGCATCCGCATCCAATTTTTAAAACGGTTGTTCAACACTTTCATTTGTATCTGTTGTGTCTTTTGTTGTCAGCGCAGTTTTGCATTCGGAGGAAATATGCATGTGTGTGTGTGTGTCATTTGTGTCATTTGGTGAGTTGTACCATGATCCCACATGCATTCACCTCTCCCTGACTAGCGCGTTTGATGGCTCAGGTTTCAGCAACAGCCTCTCGGAGAAAAAATAGAGAGTCAGTCGGAGACCTCACCAAAACAGGATGTGGCTTCCTGTTGGTGTCCCTTTCGAACACCGAGCTGCCAAGGGTACCCTCAACAGGGCTCCTTAAAACATACATTTTGCCCAATTGAAACATGGCTTTTTCCACCCAAATAAAGGGAAACCACCATGTACAAGGCAATGTTCAGGTGTATTATGTAAGGATCCCTGCTCAAAATAGCACGAGTTGCTTCTTGCATGGGGACTCATGTCTGCAAGACCGCCGATCTTCAGAGCAAAGCTTGGAGGCCCAAATTAGGCCGAGACCCTCAGACTGCAAGCAGGTAGAAGGATAGCGCCCATTCGGGTCACTGGGGTGTGGACCCGGTAAGAGGAAAGCAGGAGTCGGGCGAGCACACCGGGGCGCTGTACGCCATATGGAGTTGTCAAAGCTAAGGACCCTTCCGAGGTGTCACGTTAGGCACATGGGTGACATGGGAGGTTCGTCGAAATTCCCAGTAGTCTTTGGTCGATTCGACAACACGGGGGCACCCCCACAGCCCCACCCCCCCCCCCGCTTGCACTTGAGAGTCGCATTGCGACAGGTTGCAGTGAGAGCGCCTGCCGAGTACCGTCAGCGCCTACCATGTGGCGCCGTTGGATCTCGTCGGAGCTTCCCATCCTTCAAACAGGCGGCGAGCCGGACGTTTGGAGCGGGGCTCCTCTCAGTAATGCCCTCCTTTCGACCATCTTTTGCCACTTCTAACTTTCTTGCGGGGAAAAAAAGGAAAGAAAACACATCCTCCCACTTCTAACTTTCTCGGTTGCGGAAAAAGACATTGGGTCGTGGCAACCCACAGGCTTTGTGGTGTCTTTCCAGATCTGCTCTTTTTTTGTCCGCCTTTTCGCCTCGCGGGCCAGCACATGTGCCGAGAATGTTTTCAATGGCTTCCACCTTTTTGCCCGGACCTGGCTTCGAAGAGGCCGTGTCCCCAAACCCTGCAGTGGAGGAAAAGCGCGCATTGCCCGGTACTCGTTTGTTTGGGATGGTCTTGATGGCTGCCATCTCATTGCGCTGCCTTTCTTTGAAGTTCTGAAGAAGCGCAGACTCCGCGGTGGGCCGGGAGATAGCTGTGGAAGTGCCTCTTTGTGTCCGTCATATCCTTGTGACCAGAAATTGGGAAGCTGCAGGCCCCTTTTGGCTGATTGTTGAAGGAAGCAAATGATGAGCCGCCCGCTTCCGGGGATCCCCAGTTGTCGGACACGCCATTGTTTTTGTTGGTGAGGTGTGGATCGCAATTAGTTCTGTGCCAGATCTGTGTGGGAATCGATGGTTCCGTGATCCCCTAGAAAAATCACCGAAGTGATAAGCCACTCTTGGCATAACTGCTAAAATTTGAGAATCTTTGCTCCCGAATCAACGTCAACCATGTTGGGATGGGAAGCCCGCCTTGTTGTCACGGAGGCTGTGTTCCTTGGTGGCTCCCAGCCATCCGGTTCCTTAGCCTTTTAGCTTTTTAGTCTTTAGTGACAGTTTCCATTTAACCCACTAAAAGTTATTCACATTTTTGGCGGATCCGAAAACGGGCAGCCCAGGTTCCACATGGCCAGAGCCCATGTTGTGACTCCTGCGACACCTGAGGTGGACTCCTTCCGCCAGCGTCAAGGCGGCGTGTACGTCGCCCAGCAGCCGCGAGACTTGGCGCCAACTCGGCGTTTTTTCTTGGAAACAACGAGGTCCCCCAGCGAATGGTGCGCGCTCTTTCTCACCCCTTTTTTGGGTTGGGAGGGTTCCCCTACTAAAATAGATCAGAAAAAAAGGGAACAAAAACGGGTACCAACTTCTTCTAACCTCTCTACTGGAAGACCTAGACAAGGCATTCCCCTGGCGAGGGCCATTCAATCGGGGACAAGCCAGCAAGACAAAGCTAGATGTCTCAAGCCTGAAGGATTTGGCCAGCCAGGTGGTCCATCGCCTGCGGTTTGGCTTTTCGCTGTGCCACAAATTGGTTTGCAGGTAAATCTGCCGCCGTTCGGGTGTAAACGTCTTGACAAGCCGTGGGATATGCCCTTCAGAGAGCACAGAAAGCTGAGAGATCCCTGCTTTCACGGCAGCTGTACTGCTTGGTTCAGATGTGGACCACTTAGAAACTACCTGGAGTTGCATTTGTACCAAGCTTCTGAACATGGCATGGGTGCGTGGCATGTGCCAGCACTTTATGTCAGGAATTTTTAGCGTGGAACCAATCCTGCCGACTGGCGGGGGGCTCGATTTGGGACGGGAAACGTTCCCCCCTTCTCCCCAGGGAAAATGAGCTTCAAGCGCCAACTCTCAGAACTCGCTTGCTGAGCGATCTCTCCAGCCAAGCAGAACTTCAGACATGTCTTCAGATTTTCGTGAACAAGCCCCCCCCGCTTCCTTGGGCTCGGCGTGCGCGGAGCCGACGCGCGCGACGTGCGGAGCCGCGTGCGCCAAGGACTTCCACGTTGGCGAGGCCGCTGAACTGGGCTCGGTGTCAAGGGCGGGAAGGGACGTCAACTCCGTCCATTTGATGCCATGAGGTGAGTAGTGTAGCTTAGGTGAGGTTCTTCCTTCCATGGTGAGGTGAGGTTCTTCCTTTGACTGGTCTGAGTAGTGTACCTTTTTTTTTATGTGGGTCGCAAGAGTTCCCCAAAGTCTGGCTGCAAATGTGAAGCCCGTTTGAGCGAGGGCGAAGGTCCTTTGCCTGCACTTGTCCGGTCGGTGACCTCTGGGAAGGAGTTTTGGAAAACGAGCTGCAGCTGCCATTTTGCATGCCTGGTTGCAAACCTATATATCGTAAGACCGCCTGGCAAGTTGCATGTGAACGGGTCACATGCCTTCTTGCATACCCTAAATTGTCATCAGTGCTACTACTGCTACTACTACTCGTACTACGACTACTACTACTACTACTACTACTACTACTACTGCTACTTCTACTACTACTACGACTTCTACTACTGCTACTACGTCTTCCACCACTTCCAATGCACCTTTTTGTCACTATCGCCACCTGTGTCACTTCCACTACCACTACCATTTCCACTACCACTACTGCTGCTGCTACTGCTGCTACAACCTGTGCTGCACCCCTGCTGCGGCTGCCGGCTCGTGAGAACACGAGTGGATGTCAGGAGCCGGGCCGGAAGATCAAGGAGGACTGACACAAGACATTGACATGTGGATGTTCTGCTTAGACGAAGCGTGCTCGTTACATGGGAGGCGACAGTGAGATGTAAGTATTTGTGACCCGCATCCTTGCTTCCATTTGCTTGAGAATATTTGTTGTGTTCCCCTGTTGGTTTTAAAGGGAATCTATGACGACTGGACATTTTTATTTTATTTTTTCCATTGGGCGAAAAAGCAAATGGAAGCTTATTCCCAGTGTCTTTTGCGGACTCCTCACTAACAGCAGTCAACCTGCCTTTTTTCTACTGAACGGGCCTCTGGGCAGCTGGGAGTTTGCGTCTTCGCAGCTTGCCTTTTGGCTTCCTCCTAAAAAAGCTAGGGCACCTTATTTTGGCTGTAAGCCACCCCGAACAAAGGGGGGCACCCTCCAAAGCTGCACACGCCCATTTTTTGGGCAGAGCTTTGGCGCTGGCAGGAGGTGCCGCGCGCAGCGCCCAGAGCTTAGAGCCCAATGGGCCAGGCACTCATCCATCATCATCATCGCCGTCATCGCCGTCATCGTCAGCGTCAGCGTCATCGTCATCATCATCATCATCATCATCATCATCATCATCATCATCATCATCATCATCATCATCATCATCATCATAGTCATCGTCGTCATCGTCATAGCCATTGTCATCATAATGATACATACATGTGTATATATATATAAACATATATATACATAAATGACAAGGTGCCATCGTTTTGCTTGATTTGAGAGCGCAGGCTGTAGTGTTCTGACAATTGTTTCAGTAGATGTAATCGCAAATGCACGCACTTGCGCAAAACTTGTGTTAGTATAGAGACCAGACTACAGGTGAGCTGAAGACAAAGCATTGTGACATGGTAAGATTCGGGGATACTACATACATGTGTAGGAGGCGTCCCCCTTGAACCGTCCTCAAACAGATTCCTTCTTTCTTGCACTTTCCATAATGAGAGGGCTTCCCGTGAAGTCTCTCTGACAGCAAGCCAAGAAAAAGTCCCCTCAGAAAGTCATGATTGCAAATGACCACCAACCACGCGTGTCAGAATGTGTTAGCAGACCTGGGCCCAGGAATTCCATGAGCAGCAGCAGAGATCCCCCTGAAACCTGTGGCAAGAGACTTATGCACACTTTGCCACATGTGAGCATGTGGGGCCATCAAGTCCTGTTCTTCTCAAATTAGTGACCAGGTGGTTTGGGGAAAATTCATCCTTGAGCTTTTGCACAAGATCCAAATGGGGGTTGATCAAAGGGTTCTTTGCATGGGATGACCATTGGGGAAACCACTCAAAAAGCGACTTTCACCACCTGGGAAAACATACCCGTGGTCATTTGGGGACCGAACGGAATATTAATCAACACGCACATCTCTCCTGGGAGAGATTTGGGGGCTTGGCAGCCATTTGAGGTGGACTCCTTCTAACGTCAAGGCGGCGTGTACCTCGCCGACCAGCCGAAGCGAGACTTGGCCGCACAGAGGCAAGCTGCGAAAGTGTTATGCGTTCCAGCCTGAGCCACATAATTTGAGCTGAGTTATTTTGTTTTGCCCAGACATAAACCCGGATCCTCTCGATGTAGATGCGTGTCCAGCACGGGACAGCTGCGTTCAGGGTCCCCTTTTTTCGTGGCAAGGGCAAACCAAGAAGCCAACAAGAAAACCACCCACGTTGGGAGTCCCCGAAAAGCAGACACACCCAGATGCTCAAGCCCTGCTTTGAACGAAGTGTCCTCCGGCCACGCATTCGATTCCGTGGCAACCTTTCTGCTTCTGGCCTTCGGGGTGCTCATGACAAGGCTCACACAATCGCCAGGGCTCGTTCTCTCCGTCTCTCTCTCTCTCTCTCTCTATCTCAATATATATATATATATATGTATATCTACATGATTATTTATATATTCAATTGTGTTTAGTTTATTGATTAGTTGTTTATTTCTTGATTTTTAATTGTTGTGTTTGTTTGTTCATTCATTTATTGTTTTAGTGTGTTTATTATTGTGTGTTGATGTGTTTGTTTTTATTAAGTTATTCATCTTTGTTTATTTACACTTTCTTATGTCTTGTTTTATCTATTTATTTGAAGTGATTCTTTAAATGTGCATATGTTTATATATACACATATATGGGTTATTGGTGTTTGCCTTAGTATTATTTCTTTGTTTCCTAATTTATGTTTTCTTTATTTGTTTACTCACTTATGTTGCTTACTGTTTTCATTTGTTTGCAGTTGGTCGCATCTATCCACATATCACCCTTTGGTCCCATTTACAGTGAGTTTCCTAAGTTGGGTAATGTGTAAGGAAGAAATACACGTAACCCTGATGTGTGTGTGTGTGTGTGTTTTCACATGTTCCACTTGCTCGTTTTGCGGCACTCCGAGTAGAGCACCCGAATCGCCGAGGAGTTTGCCGGCTTGATGATCGAGACAGAGCTGGAGGCCGGACTGCGGAATTCCTGGAGGCCCTGCAGTCTGCAAAAGTCCGATTGAATTTTTATCAGTAGGGTTTGTGCCTGACACCTGGTGATTGAAACAAAGATGCACTCAGGCTCAACAATATTCGACAACGTCCCCCAGCTAGGTGCCCTTTCTCACCCTTTTTGGGGGAGGGTTCCCCTACTAAAATAAACTACAGAAAAAAGTTGGCACCCTTATTCTATCCTCTCTACTGGAGGACCTAGAATCCGATCGGACTTTTATCAGCAGGGATGGCATAAGAAAGGTCCCTTGTCTGTAGGAGGATTCCATTGTGGAAGGCGGTTGATCACTTGGCCAGGCATGTGAAAGAGAAAAGGACAAGAGGAAATGAAAGAGGAGTACAAAAACAGGAGCTACAAACAGCCACTCTGGAGAAAGTCATTAGGTATGAAAGCAGCCAAGGGCTTCGAATCGCGCTTTGCGACCCTCGGTGTTTTTTAAAAGGAAAGCTCTAGGAGTGACAAGCCCAGCATGTCTTCTCCAAGAGGCAATTGACGTGGTTGTTCGGTGGCATTCTTCCCATTTGCCCGATCAGCTCTGAGTACTTGCAGCAGCTGAAAGCAAGAGTTGAGAAAGATCAGGAAAAAAAACACTACGCATACATGTTGGGCAAAAACAGGACATTCCAAGCCTACCCAGCGTTTTTATGTGTTCCGAGCTCAAAGTTGGGGCACATGATTTTTTCCCGTGCTCCTCGGCACCAAGTTACTCTAGTGTCAAACTAGATAGCGCACTTTCCAACTCAATGCTGGCTCCTCTGCATGTCCGTCATGCATGTCCATCATGTGTGTTTCTTCGGCAAGAGAGCGATTCCCCATCAACCTGCACCTTGGACTTGCCCAGGTGATCTCTTTGCTTTGTCCTTGGCCCATTTCGCTCAATGCTCGTTCACAGGTCGCGAAGGCCCATGTCCGTATACTCAAAGTCTTGGACCTGCCCCACCACAAGCGCAATCTAGGTCCCCCAGTGCCCTTTCTCACCCTTTTTGGGGGAGGGTTCCCCTACTAAAATAGACTACAGAAAAAAGAGTACCCTTATTCTAACCTCTCCACTGGTTAAAATACAATAGGGGGGTGGGTTCCGCTCCAAACGTGGTCTGAATGCCCACGGAAGGATCAAACTCAACCAGAGGGTTATTGATCCGGGGTTCCCATTTCCCATTCACCACTCTTTCGGTGCAACCTCGAGCAGTTTTGTGTTTTTGCACGCAGGAGCCGACCCGCAAGAAGGACAGAGACCGGTGCCGTTGGCCCGTCTATGCTCACCTGGCCTGTGCGTTTGAATGGTTGGGGCATTGGTTGCCGTCCTGTAGTAAATGAGTCCGTTTATAACCTCCAAAAAAACGGAACTCTCAAGAAACGACACCCCCAAACGTTCACCGGGTCCAACCAATGAAGGATCATCCTTGGTGAACTGATTCGCCTGTAAAGACTGTTACGTCGCGGCAGAAACGGGCGGACACGGAGCGGAGCTTCTGTGTGAAGCTCGCAGGAAGCACCACGGGCCGTGTCTGTGGCTGAGAGCCGACGAGAGACGAGCAAGAATGGGCGGATGGCAGAAGTGTTCAAGGAGTCACCTGGGTATGGATCAAAATTAACCTACCAGGGGATGTTTTGTTTTTGCCCTTGTTTCCTTTTCCAGGGTTCCGTTTTGGGTGCCTATTTTTGACCCACACCCACATGAACAGTTGGCAGCATACATCCCTACGTCAATGACACTCCACCAAAGGGTCCTCAATTGAGTCTTGAAACCTGAATGGGCGTGAATCTCGGGCAAGCCAAACGGAAACCAGTGACCAGAGGTCATCAAAGCGGTCACCCCGAGCATCGAGCAGACCCCCAGAGGACGGGCTCCCGCTACTCTGACATAGAGTGCCATAGACATGGCGGTGGTTTGGGCGGAGTGGGTTGCAACGCACTGGAGTGCCATCAGAAGACCTGCTTGCTTGGAATGCCCGCCTGCAGTTGCGAAGATTGATTGGTTGTTCATGCAATCCATGTCTCCTAGATACGGAATTGGGGCTCTGCGCCATGGATGTTTTGACGTTGCATGCCACAGCTTACAGCTGCTCAAAACGCAGAGTCTGTCTCGTTTGAAGGATACGGACACTCATGGGGGAGATGAGTCGATGATTCTCATGCCAGACACGCGGAAAGCAACATACTTTCCTGCAGATGAAAATGGATCCCAACAAGGGGATACCCAAAAGGAGATTCCGAGATTCCTCTAACGATGGTACTCGATCTGTAAAAGCAAGTGTCAGAGTGGCTCAGGATGTGTTCAAGCACTGAAAAGGCTACTCTATCTCAAAAACTTCTTTGTCACTTTGTTTTCTTGGCAGGATATTTGGGGACGTGTGTGTGTGTGTGTGTGTGTGGGTGGGTGCGTGTGCGCGTGCGCGTGCGCATGCGCGTGCGTGCGTGTGTGCGTGTGCGTGCGTGTTCGTGTGTGTGCGTGCGTGCGTGCGTGCGTGCGTGCGTGCGTGCGTGCGTGCGTGCGTGCGTGCGTGCGTGCGTGCGTGCGTGCGTGCGTGCGTGCTGCGTGCGTGCGTGCGTGCGTGCGTGCGTGCGTGCGTGCGTGCGTGCGTGCGTGCGTGCGTGCGTGCGTGCGTGCGTGCGTGCGTGCGTGCGTGCGTGCGTGCGTGCGTGCGTGCGTGCGTGCGTGCGTGCGTGCGTGCGTGCGTGCGTG